TGTTTATTCTAGTAACGGGCAGATGGCTCTGCAGTCAGAAATTGCTATTTTTATTCGGAATGACACGGTTTCGGGGGGACTGTGGAAGAAAACTGGCTTTAGAAGGCTTACTATGCGCAGTATGAGTGCGCGCAAGTCTTTGCGTTATCCAGATTCTTTGTACCATTCCTAGCATACCACAAACAGACAAACTCTTCGTATAAACGGACCAAAATCCGTCCTAATTATCCAATAAAGTTGGCAAAGAGGCTCTTATTTTCAATTTTGGTAAGTACATAACAGTTTATGATTGTTTTTCATACAGTTTTAGCGTTGTTTTGGCCTAAATATCCGTTAGAATGTCAGCAATGTGTCTACAATTCCTACAATACTTTACATACTTGTCATGCTTGCTCTTACGAACTTGTGACGACCGGGAACGACGGCGGGTGTCGGTGCCATTTGAATTTCGAATTTTAGTTTGTCAAAAATCTCTAAAGATTATCAATCGTTATCTTCATCGAGTGTTAAATTAAAGTGATTGTGATTTGTGAATATGGAACAGAGTTTTGTTTGTGCGCCCGATGGATAGCGTAATAGCCACACAAGCGGCACATTGCACATTGTTTACAACAAACAGTTGTTCATTTGGTAGTGTTGTTGAATTGTCAGTGCTCCAAAATTACTGTTTTTCCCGGAATTAATTGAACGTGTTGTGATTGTGCGATAAAGACTGAAGTTATTTTAGTGATTGTCGAGTTTCGAGTGTCCCTAGGCGACGGAAAAACTTTTTGGATTATCTTATTTTCTCGAAACCTACACGATTTTTATGAGGGCATGTATTTAGGTATTTAAATTTTATTTAATTTAAAACCTAGGGTAATAAAGGTTGGAATAATTGTTTTACACATTGCTGACGCACAACGTTTGGCTGTTTTATAGATATTTAGTCACAGAAAAGTTATCAACAAAATAGAAATACGGGTTACGTTCGACTTTAGGGACACACTGTTTGACCAGTTTTACTTTATTTTTTTGATTTAAATGATATTAAGTATGATTTTAACTCACTTTAGGTTTGGAAATAGGAAAAAAAGTATAAATCAATTATGTATTTTAATTAAATACTTTTTGAAAATAAGAAAACTAGTATTTTATCAAATTTAACCTAAACTTGAAAATTTTAATATTTGACATTTCTTTTCTGGATAATGAGCGGGGTTGCCAAGATTAATTTATTACTTGTTACTATTTCGGCCGTTACCCGCAATATTTAAAAAACTAAGTAGTCTGGGTATTAACAGTATGACCAGGTAGCAGAGAATTTAGAGTGAAATTTTATCTTGAATGAGTCAAATAAAATGATTTTGTAACATTGTATTTTTAGAACTTACTCAAAAATGTCATGTGAAATGTCAGTAAGTTATAAAAACTTACAAGGGATTGCTGTTTAATTTTATAAACAATTGTATGAGCTGATATGAACAGATATTATTCTTTCATCTGTGTTTGGGGTCGGGGAGCGATGTTTGTTACAGATTCTGGTATTTTATCACAAAATTCTATTATTTTTATTTAAATAAACAAATCATAAAAGTATAATAATTTACGAGTTTACAAATTAATTATATCTTTTTACATATTAAAATACTTGGCAACCCTGTACACATAAGTCAAAATATTTTATTAAAAATGTGCAATTTTTGAGATTTTAATATTAAATTTCTCGCTTAATCGTGGATAATCTACAAATTTTTTTTAATTGTCATGATATATAACTTCTTTACTTTCTAATAGTACAAATTTTTTTTTGAAATTCGTGTGTCTTTTAAATCGAATGTAAATATAATATAATGTAACAAAATAGGTAATCTTATTCAAAAAACAATATTTAAAATTATGTATATTTACCTAATATTGAATTTTTGAAGTACCTAATATTTACTAGTTATTTTTTATTAGGTTCGTAACGATTTTGAATTTTTGTACTTTAAAATTAATAACTACAGCTATTCGTTTATGTTGTGGTTTCCATAGGAACTTTTACCGTCGGAAATTGGTATCTAGTTAGTGTTTAGGAAACAACATTTAATACTGTCTAGACTTTACTAATTCTATTCTTAACAGTAGTAAAAATCAATTGAATTTTAAATTCCAAAAATCTTACCTTTACCTGCTTAATAGAAAGTAAATAAAAATTAAATCTTTACCTAGAATAATAATATACATATTGTCTACAATAGTTCTTGTAGGTATACCTACTTAATATTATTATAGAAACCTATTATCTTCACTTTTTACCTTTCAATAATAATTATAATAATTTGTCTGTTGTAAGAATAATATAATAGGTATTTAAACCCAATAATTAAAGAATAAACATTTGTAAAGTACTCCATAATTGAAAGGTAGGAAATTAATCCCTTTCTGCAGTTGGTTTACCTATTTATTGTCTATATTTCATTGAAAATAGTGAAATTATTTTAGTATGAAGTAAACACTGTCTAAATTGTAACACATATAGGTACCTATTTATTTCCTAAATCGTACCTGCTGATTTCACCTATGTATTAGGTACCTACGTACTTAGTAGATTGTAGTTTAAAAAATATCCCTTTGTGAAAAAAATTGTCTGCATTTAGATGCTAAAAGCAGGCTTTTATAATTAAAGGTTGAAAAATTAAACAAATAATTTTTTCTAAAATTATTATTAGATATAGGTACCAGGTAAGGGATTTTATAAAGGAGTAAAAAAAGTAGTAATCATATTAGACATATTTTTATAATTAATTTCTGGTTGCTATTAACTTTGCACTGTATTATAAAGAATAAAAGGTTAAATTAAGAAAGTGCTTCAAAAATATAATCCCAAATTAAAAAAAAATGATTAATATAAATATAAATGAATTTCTAGATAGTTTCATCATGACCTGTTGATAAAACTAAAAAAATTAAGTTAAATTTTCAACTATGTAATCATAAAAAAATCATAAGTTTACTTATATACACTGTATCTGTATACTTACTTAATATAGATAGGTATTTAATTTATTATTGGTTACAGGTTAATCATAAATTTGTATGCAACCAAATTTTTAAACTGATTTTAATCGAAATTTTAATTAATGTTTAATTTACATGTTATGTTTCAAAAAATATCATTTGAGCTGTAAACATTAGGTGCACAAAGTTAGCACCGCCAAATGAGAATTTTTTATAAAACGAAGTTGACATTCGTTTGTCCACAATTTGTACACGTTTGTCTAACAAAAATTTTAATTTGTCACCCCTTCGAGAGTTATGACAAAATTAAAAATTTCAGCAAAATTTGACATAGCATTGCCATACTTTTTTTTGGCATTCAATTGTCCACGTTTATCCACTCAAAACAGGGTAGCCAGTTCCCCTGTAAATAGTTGGTAACAAGTTTGTTTGACCTCGACAGTGGCGCGCTGAGCGCGTTATGATGAACTATAATTCGGTACAGTCGGTAAAGTAGAAAACTACTAAGTAAGGCGATTCAAAAAATGGCGGGATTTAAAATTTATGAAATTTGAAGTAATTTCAAGTAACATTTTCCTATTTTACAGCTTTTACTTACAATAATTGAAACAATCAATAAGTAAAATGAATTTTTATTGTAAGTAAATGCTGAAAACTTGTTTTAAATGAAAAATAAAAACATTTGTAATAAGTTTATTTTATTTAGAATAGGTAACTATATCAATACATTATATTAAACATCATATTCACAATAAACACACAAAATTAATGCAGAATAAAAATGTAGGATAACAATGTAACAATTATTTTATTAACAATAAACTGGATACAATTTTCAAAAAACACAACGAACATTTTCAAATAATTAAAAACAGCACATCCCTATAAATACCACAATTGTTTTAAATATCTCTAATAATAATAATAATAATAATAACTTATTAATACACAACAGATAGGTAATTTTTCAATGAATACATATAAAATAGTTTATATTTGCCATTAATTTGATATAAAAATGTAACATCTACATTTAAATTTGAAACAATTTAAAATTTAACATCAAATCATAATACCTATATTATCTGTTTTTAATTTAAAAAACGGGGCTAATACTGAAATGTATGTATTAATATACCTGACTAACAATAAGTAAATTAATTTTCCCTAAACAATTTAATTTTTGTTTTTAGTATTTGCTAACTAGGTATAATGTATTTTATATGTGAAATTTAAATATTGTGATGTCTGATTTACAAAAATTTCAAATTATTCAGTCTAAATCTCTGTCGACTAAATTTTAATGATCGGCTTAGTCAAGTAAATTTTTTTTTCAGCCTCCTCCATCCCCATAGCCGTCCAACGCCTCCTTTTTATTTAAACAACAAACAACAACAAAACTTAATATAACACTCTAAAAAACTATATCTTAATTCAATCAGTACGAACCCTGTTAAAAATATTGTTAATACCTAGTATCACAGAACAGTAAAAAGATATTTTTAAACAATTTAAAACTTATATCTATAACTTTGAAAGTTTTATATAATACCTAATATCACACTGAAAAACTTAAAGAAAAACGAGAAGTTAAATTTACTTATTGTAATAATAATATTAATAATGTTTATTCGTCCTGTTAAGCAATTGTGTGTCCTGAATGTAATGGTGAACATAAAAGCTTCGAATGTAATGAACTAGTAAACAAATGTACAAATTGTGTGTATGCACACGATATTCTAAAAATTCCTGGAATAGTTTTTAATCACTCTGTGTTCAATAAAGAATGTGTATCGTACAAGAGAGTAGTTGAACAAACCAAGTCCAAAATAAAATATATATATAGCCATCCCAGAAACTAAAAGAAGATACCAAATACAAAGCAATATGTATTAACATTGAGGGATTAACGTCACATATTGATGAACTTCGAGAATATCTAACTGAAAATAAACCTTTATTAGTAAACGTAACAGAAACACATATTACTGCAGATATGTCTCACTTTTTATCTTAGTTAATTTGTTACCTATTACGAAATACAAGTTCTTTTTATGTGCTTAACATTCATATAAAAAATGTGATCTATTAATAATTATATTCTGTCAATTCCTGCTCTGTAATTGGGTTTATGACCTGTAGAGTATTGTATTATAAATAAATAAATAAATATAGAGGACAGCGAGATTTAAATTGCAGGGTACGACTGTATAGGAGTGAATTCAGATAGCAGACATACTGGAGGTTGTATAATTTATTTAAGGGAAAACGTAAACTATTCAGTTATACAAAAAGTGTCGGTCTCTTTAAACTATTGGGTACTATTACTTAAAATACAACAAGGTAATAAGTCAGCTATAATTGGAACTGTTTATCGATCCCCACATGGCAATTGTAATGATTTTTGGCTGTTTTTTGATGACTTACTACAGAGAGATCTTGTAAATACTAATGATACGATTATATTTGGAGATTTCAACATGGAGTTTAGACCTGATGTGGGTATAGTCAACAAGTTCAAAAATACTATACAGGATTCGGGATTTAAACAAATTGTCAAAAAACCAACAAGAATATCAAAAACTTCGTCTTCCTTGATTGATTGGATAATAACAAATAATTTCTCGCTAATTGAACTTCCACGAGAATTTCCAGTAATGTCAGATCATGAAATGATAGGTGTAGAATTAAAGGGATGGTGTATAGATCGGAAAAAGGAAATGACTTGTGTACGTAAAATAAATAAGGAAAAAAATCAAGAAAATTACAGATGATCTAATAGAAGCATCATGGGATACGACCTCAACAGATACCGATGTTTTATACAGGAACTTTATCAATAAT